TCTATACACAAATTTTACACTGATTATGTTTCTGTTAAACTTCTTATTTAGGATATATTATATCGATACGTACGTACGTATAAACATAAATTTTGCTAGATTTGGTTATATTGGAAATTTTAACTACCCTTTTTTTTATATATCTTAACCATTATAGATTTTAACGATTCAAGATATTAAAATTTCTAATAATTCCAATGATTACACTATGACACAAAAGTAGTAAAAAATATTATTTGTCAGAATATTTATAAAACAGATATTTATAGGGTATTGGTGGCCGCTAATTCTAGCGTAAACTAGGTCTGCTAACGACATACTGTATTAAATAGCGAAAAGGTTAAATGAATAAATGAATTCAAATTTTCAAACCCAAAAAGCAAGACTTTATCCTGAAATAATGACTATTCTTTCCAAATTAGATGAATGCGATATTATAAATAGCTCTTTTATATAAATCCTGTTGAACTATACATATTTCTTTTTAGTGGTTTGTATTTATATTGAAACCATTTTTACGTAATTTTCGAGATTTCTGTTTTACATATCCGTGATTTTATTATCGTAATTATTATTAGTTTAACATCAAAACTCATTTATATTCAATGGAATCTCCTGAATCAATCTTCATACCTCTTGTAGTTGGTATAGTAATATTCCTTATTATTATAGCATGTTGTATACATCGTTTTTGTCCCCAAAATCATTTGGAGGGCCTCAAAAGGCCGTTATTATTGAAGATAGAACAATTACTAATAATGCATAGTAATACACTAAATTATAGGCGGAGTTTGAATTTTGGAGCCCCGACATCATACGATGCGATGATTAAGTTGATATTTAAGAGTGTGAACATGATCAGAAAATTTTCGTTAAAATATAATGTTAATATTTCGGCATTAAAAGAATGAGAATGTAAATTTAATTATTTAAAAAATATCTTTTAAATTGTTAGGCTTGAAAGACATGATTAATAAATTTTATTGAAACGATAATTAAAAAATTCTTTATAAAATTAAAAAGTTTACACCTTAACAATACAGTTTATTGCAGTATTTGTCAGAACCAATTTGACAATACACGTTTTTATATTCATTTCAAATTTATTTAAAAAAGGAATATGCTTACGCTCGCTCGGCTTTGAAAAATGATGCCAAAAGAAAGCCAGAATTCGAAAGTATAATTCATATTATTGAAGTCTGATTACGTTATTGGTTATAATACTTAGAACATATAAAATATATCTACGCTAAACTAGGCAACAACTCATATTGACAAATTGCATATAACTTAAAACTGGGAAAAATGTCAAATAATTCTTCTAGCTGTGATAGCGATTTAGAAAATTCTATCGTGCTAAATGTTAATTTAGATGCTTTAAAAAAGTCAGCATTTCAACTACAATGTACAATGGAAGACAGAAAGTGAAGTAGCAGTTATGGAGTATATTCGTTTAAATATGAACATCAATCACTGTTCCCAAAGTTTATTAGAATAATTCTGTCATTAATCTAGTAGGAGTAGAATATATTTTTACCTACATTCGTCTTTGTGACATCTGGAGCGCCTCACCATAGAAAAAAAAAGATGTTTCTTTTAAAAATTATTGACATTCACATTTTCAAAATTGGTTGTATTTTTTTTATTGTACAATGGGTTTAAAATTGGTCAGGTGATTGAAAACAACTTTTTACTAAGAACGAGTAACTTTACCCACCATGGAATGGGGTTCCTTCATAATACAAGAATATATTTAACTGTTATTCAAAATTAGATTCATTACTATTGAACTTTTAAATCTAAAGATATGCAGGGGTGTTGGATTCCAAAATATGAAGAGCTATGCAAATTAATACCTAATATTTTCAGAATGGTGGAAACATGTTCGTATTAGTACATAGAGACTTTCACTCAACAAACATTCTAGTCAAGAACCATTTGACAAAATATCAAAGGACAATCTAATAATTCAAAAGTTTTTTCGTGATGAAATGTCTTACTGAGATTCTAATTTTATACGTATAATTGACAATATAGATGAAGAAAAAAATGAATTCTTATTCTGCCTTGTCTCTTTCTTTGACTAATTGCTCGATAATTTTATCTCGCTCATCCACTTGGTTTACATTTTCCGAGAGAGCAATTAGTGCTTCACTTCTACTGTTGTTTTCAGAAGCAGGTATAGATTAGTCAAACATTCAAATTTTAGCAGATCAGCCATAATTTAGGGTCTGAATAGGCCGGCATTAAGCACAATACTACTATATACTGTTGTTACCTGGAAATTGCCTCCAAATACCCCTACGACCTTTGTACGTGCTACTATGGAATATCCAGGGATAATATAAATTACCCCTGAATTTGCTGATAAATATGATACATCTATCGACAACTAAAAGAAGAACTTGATTAGCCACAGATAAATGCGTAGCAATGATCGCCCAGAACTGCTGAACTATAGATGCTGGTGAAATACGGTGAAATTGGTGAAATATCACCAGCATCTATATGCTGAACTATTGATCTTTAATGATCGAAGGATGATCACCTTACTAACATTTGTATTATCACCCTATCTATACTATCATACACAGACCCCTATTGTTCCTATACACATCACTTCTAGTTGCCATATCGGTCATAATGATGGTGTGAAGATTAATATCAGCGCATGTCATGCCATCAATAGAAGTCCTGAAAAAGCCTAATAGCTATGGCTACACTGGCGATCACTATATTGAACTGGCCTTATTACTGCCTTGATCAGTACGAAAAGTCATATTTAGCCTGTGTCATCTATATGGATGAACAAGAAATGAACAAACATGGGCGTAAGTAGCTGAAGGTATGAAGCATCTTTTCAACAGTCATGACAGATTAAGGCCTATTTAAAACAAAGATCTGAAGAATAGGTGTGAATTAGCAAAGGAATTGGAGTTGAAAAGAATGATCCTTGATTTATAAATCGATAGATAGTATTTTTATTTTGATATTGTAATTAAATATGTAGCTGTGGTTGTTATTTAAAGGCCGTGAATTCACCTTGGCTTAATTTCTTCAGACTTCAATTCCTCTTTAACATTTATATATCTTCATATATATAAATCCCTTAATAGACTATCCTGAATTCTCCTTTGTAACCCAATACTATCTTCATGTAGTATAATTTTTGTTAATAAATACTTTATATCTTCATACATGTTAAATTCTTTAAGTTTGGATTCATGTAAGACTCATGTAAGACTCATGATCCCCAGTTGTTGTTATAATCATGTTATACTCATGATTCTTGAGTTATTTCCAGCCCTACATATCTTCATATACATTTGAGCTATTGCCTCTTTCATAAAAGCCTTAATAAATCCTCTTTGTTAAGTCGTTTATACAACGTATCCTTAATCTGCCAAATCTCCACAAAGTAGAAGTCTGAGATAGACTTACATTTAGTTCCCAGAGTTGTTTCTTAGAGGTTGCTTCCAGATGTAACACTGTATAATACTAGCTAAATATTCGTACTATAGAAAAATTAAATGAAGACTGATGTTGCGATTGATTCAACTTTTCAATTAGCTTTTCCTTTCCCTACCATAATGTTGCACCAAGGATAATAGTAAAAATTACCCAAATAGACTTATTACAAATAATTTATATCCTTCAACTGATCGTTCTAAAGCTCTTCTGTATTAGCATTCCAACTCTTATTTGAAGATTTTGAAGGCATATTACACAGACATTTTGAAGAGTCTATTATTCATGCGTTGGGATAGATTTGAATGTGTTATGTGATGATTTCTTTTTACAAACAGAAACAAAAACAACACATGGGGTGAGTCAATAGAAAAGGGACAAATCGTTTTTTTAAATTAAAATATTTCAACTATTTAATCAAATTTGCTAAAAAATTTTTTATTTTAACCTTGAAATTATATAGAATTAAAATAAAAAAATTTTGTTAAATTTGATAAAATAATTGCCAAGATATTTAAGCTTAAAGTCAAGAAAACTTTTATTTAGAAAAAATTTGTCCCTTTTCTATTGACTCACCCCCACATTAATCAACACTCTAAAAACATTATTTCCATCATTCCTCCTTAATGGGAATATTAAATCCGAACCTTTGTACAGTATATGCCTGCAATACAAATTATAAAAGATTTTTTGCTGAAATAATGACTAGAGGTCGTGGATTCGGGCATCCAGATTATGATGGGTTCGTGCCGTATTAAAAAAAAAATTTATAAAATAGTTTAATTTAGGCTGTTTGAAATTAAAATTTCGTTTAACGTTCTCCCCTCCACCTCAAAGATCCCCCTAAAATTAAACAGGCCAATCAGAACGTTCATTACGCCTTGAAATTCCAATAAGTCACGTGCTTACAAACCAACCAATAATAATGTGATTATTTTTGCGATATAACATAATGTTTGTTTAAATTGATACCCCTCCCCCACTCGCTTAAGCTTCAAAAAGGAACGTTAAACGAAATTACAATTTCAAACAGCCTTATTCGACTTGGATTAATTTATTCACATGCGTTTTCTTGTGAATAGAATCCATGATAGTGAATAGTTCGAACATCTGTATTGATATTTTGCAAAATAGACTTTAATTTATTGAACAATAAATATCAAACGCTGCTTTATACAAATTCATTTCATTTTGTTGTTTGTAAAATAGGTAATACGAATAATTGAGGCGAAGCTAAACTAAATGAAGTTCTTCTATAGCACTGTAAGTTCGCTAATTTTTAAAAATCACAATACTTAGACATTTTTAATTAGCATTTATATCGAAAATATATGTATCTCATTTTTCTGCAAATTTAAATAAGTCAGATAATTAGATAAACTTATCATGGGCTTTATACTTGTGTAAGCATAAATCAAAACAAATAAAATAAAATAAAAAATAATAATTATATGTGCTATATTATATGTACTACTCTTAATGCTGACACAAAATTACAAATACAGTTATAAAATATATATATAAAAACAAGTCTAATTAGTTAATTCCACAGAATTGTAGTTTCCCAGCTCAATATATGCCATATTTTTTAGTCCAATACCTTGCCAGTAACCACCATGGTCACCTTGTGGATCGCTAGTAAATATAGATGCGCCAAAGGCGTTGCTGACTGTGTCAGTTCCTAAAGCGAACGAGCGTAAAAAATCATTAAAAAGACATGTGATCGGATCACTACCAGTTCTACTAGCCCAGACTCGAGTTCGTGGAGTGCGGTTTTGCCCAGTATTAGATGGAATCATGTTATTTGCAATCTGAGATGCATGATCAACAGGGACTCCGGGACTACCAATGAGAATGGCATCATCTGATACTAACTTGTGGCCATTGATTGTAGTTTCAGTAACAACGTCAGTGCCGAAACTGTGGCCAACAACAGTTATATGGGGTGGTGTTCCCTTATGAATGGCAACCAACCCCTGTTGAAACAATTCCAAAGCAGGTGCTGCTTCTCTTGCATTATCTCTGGATGAACCGAAGGCAGCTGGTAAATCTACAGGTGCGTCATAGTCGTCCCAAATGATCAGCGCGTTATTAATATTTCCACTATTTTTCAAGATTTCGGAAATTTTGGAAGCGGTAGCATCATTGTTGCTCAAATCTTGATAGAGAACGTCGTTGACCCCACGACCGACCCCTGGGACAGTGGTCACAATGTTGTCGGCAGTTTCAGGGAGACCAATTGAAAGGATAAAATGTCCTGTTCCTTCCATATTGAATCCCAGCAAGTACGGTTGGTCTGAAGCAGGTTCTCCAGGTAGGTGCTGTGTGGGATCTTTTGGATCGATATTACCAGTGACAACTCTTGGTTCAATTTGATTATTTTGTTTAACATCCCATTTACCACCAAGGCGAGTCTGCAGATCATGGATTCCAATAAGCTGTTTCTTTAGAACTGCAACATACGATTTTAAGTTTCGATTGTTTTTAAATTCATTATAATTAGCTCTTAGATCCTTTTCAGTGATCGCACGGTTGGCTGTGTCTCGCGCCACCGTGGGGATCCCATCAGTAGAGCCAATATATTCGGGAAATTGGTTTATAATCTGCTTCTGATTATCTGAAGGTAAACCATTCCACCAATTGTTGATTTGAACGGGATTGGCGCCTGACGAAGGTGCACTAGGTGGTTTTTCATTTGACTTGCGACGAATTAAAGTATGAATGTCATTAAATGGTGCCGTCAATGGGTTAGCATCAACCAATAAATTAGAAATGATATTTGGAAAAATTAAAACTAAACCATAAATAAATAAAAGTATGAGATGATAAAATTTCATATTTGTTAACATAAATAAAAACATATTGATGTCGTGATAATTGTATTCAGGCAGAATGATGTGGAAATTATTCAAGACCTTATCAAAAATAGAATGAAATATTCAAATTAGTTGGTAATTATAAATATTCTTTAGGTTTAATGTTTTTAACTTACTTCTGGAAGAGAGCTCTGCAAAAGTCTGGCCATCAGGGACTAAAGACGATTATCTTTTAAAAAATGGTATATACTTTCCTGTATCATGACCATAAATTTTTTCGTTACATTGTGATTTTGTTTAGCTAAACTAATATGTCCCACATACATTAAAATAATTAATGTCGTGTAAATAGGTATTAGGTATTATGATTCAAAAAATTTTATTGCTGCAAACCAAAAATATGTACAAAAAAAAAATATATATGTGTTTTATATTTACAGAGAACGCGCAAATTTAATTCTATCCATAGCTACCGCAACAAACAGTTCCTCGATTTTGATTGGTTAATGGCCGATTATCTTGACCGGGGTAAAATCGCCACCAAAAAAGTTTCAAAAATCATATGGTATTGTCAATTCGGATCATGATAATTTCGATTTTGGGTCAAAATCCCGAACAATGGATCCCCGAAAGAACGTAATACCGACAAAGTTAGCCGGCACTAGCCATAA